TGATTTAAAGGGAGCCTGTGACCTCTTTTGTTATGTTACTCCTCATGTGCTCGCTTGCTGCCAGCCGTCTACAATATAATGTGACATGAGACAGATTGCGGTTTCGGACCTAAAGTTATTATGTATGAGCTGGAAGCTGAAACAATCGATGTTCAGCTCGTATAAATTCGCGTTAGAGACATTTTTGCAATGTTCACAGAGACATTTCTTTCTTATTTTAGGTTAAAACTCTGTTTAGAGAGAAGCATTTTAACACACCAGTGAGAAAAGGAAATTAATTTGTTGCCTGAAGATGACATTATTAGTACAAGTTGAGACACTGAAGGTGATAATGAACATGCAGTGCCAAAGGAAAGCAAATTATTTTCCCACAAAAACAGAAGCTGAGCGGGAAGGTTGCCTTGTTTTCTTGGCAGAAAAGCTGCACTGCCCTAAATATATGAGGGGCCAATCAGGTTCAAGGGGCTACAAGGCCCAACCCCTGTTTTTTTTCCTGGAAGAAAAATACAACAGCAGTATGAATCAATCATAATGTTCTACTCCAACCCCTTGAGACACTGCAAGAAAGAGAGCTGTCATAACTAGGGGGTTGGTTGTATGGAAAAATGGTTTCTAGTGTCACAAAGCAAATTCTTTGTAATTGTCTGACGACTGAGTTCGTCCATCTTTGTCTGATTTGACCCAGAGCTACAACACCACAGCCATCCTCAGCGTCACTGCCTTACTCATTATAGTCTTTTAATATATCTTCCCGTCAAAGACGCTTTTCAATATGTTAAATAGAAACCCAGTGGGGCTGACTTCTCAAGGACAGTGAGCACAGTGCCCTCTGGCTGCCGTCCAGGCCGCTCTGGCAGACTGCTTCTAAATTAACCGCATCTCAATGCTGGCTTTAGAAGAAGGACTTATGCAGGTTGTAGCGAGTGCCCCAAGTGTTTTGCCAGCATATGCAACAGCCTGCAACCCCAGCTTAACAAATCAGACTAGATTGCTTCACGGACATTCTAACTTCTACTCTGGGAACAAGGGGCATCAGGAGGCATAAGAGAGGGGGCTGTGTATCAGTGGCCTGAAAACCCTCAAGCTACAGCTAGTTGGTCCGGAATCTGCACTTAGATAATTTTCTGCTCTCCCCTGTTGTTTCCAAGAGGAGAATTGGTTTTTGTATCTGAGGCTTTGAGGTGGGTCCAGAATAGTTTTGTGGAGCCTCATAAGATAGCTTGAGAAAATGAAAGGGGGGTCACCAAAGGATTGTTATTGTTGTGCATATCAACAATTAGGTATGTACATTTATCATTAAGATTAATTTTTTGTGCTAACAATTTCAGATGCCAACATGATTATTCCGATGTATTACAACAAACACAGAAAGCAAGTTTATTTGAGCACTTCGCCTACCTCACAAATTCATTGGCTTTTTTCCCTCACAAACAAGTCTATAACTCAGTTTCTCCTATTTTAACTTTCTTGAATGTTTTGTTTGTAAATAAATTATGTTTTTGTAAACAAATGCACAATTTGAATACTCATCTGAAACACATTTTATAAAACTAATAAACCAAAATATGATGGCCAAAGAAGGTTACAACATTGGTGGTTATGATCTCATGGCTGATCTGTATGCAGTGTCTTGCAAGAATATTTATACAGCTTTAACTTTTTGCCATTCTGTCGCAAACACAAATTTCAGTGTATTTTATTGGGATTTTATGTAAAAGAACATGAACTAGATCATTATTGTAATGTGGAGGGAAACTGATTCATAAGATTCTATAAGAAGTTCCATTTGCAGTTTGCCACATGCCATATTAATCCATGTAAAAGAAGGGACTCTGGTCAGACAAAATTGAACTTTTAGCTTAAATGCAAAATGCTATGAAAGCCCTGCACATGACAATAAAAACACCATCCACACATCCCTGTGCTGGTGGCAGCATCATCCTGCAGGAATACAGTAGGGACAGGGGAGCAGGTCAAAGTTGATGGGAAGATGGGAATCCCAAATGATATATCACACTATCACATAAAATGATAACAAAATACATTGCAATTTATGGTTCTAACACATCAAAAATTTAAAAAGGCGTATGAGCACTTTTGCAAGGCACTGTGTGTTCCATATTCTTGACATGACAACCAGTGCAGCACACAGCTTGTGTACATGTGCTCAACCATTTTCCTTACATGTTTCTCCCTTTATCAGACAACACCTGATCCCTTGTGAAGCAGAGCTGATGCTTTCAGGCTACAAGAGAATTAAAAGCACAGCCAGTAATTACTGGCTGGGACACATGATTCAAAGAACAAACAACGTCTTCGTAGGTGGCTTGCCACAACAATATCTTCTCCATCAGGTGAGCTTTGTAATTACTGTGTGCTGTTTTAACTAGCTGTCAAAATTATGTGGTCCTGAATGGCAGTCACAGTTTAACATTTTAGTGGACTCAACACATTATAAAGCTGAAAAATCTTTTTTTAATAAATGCCTTTCCTTTACAGAGAGCAAAACCATTTTACAACTATACTGGCTGCATTGAAGTAATTGAGATTAACCATCTAAGAAGCTTTTACATAACTGATGCCATCGCTGGCAGCAACATAGATCGATGCAGGTAAAGTATACTGTATCCATAATACTAAAACAAAAAAAGAAATGGGTCTATTTTATTACCTTTCATCATTCTTATTTTTTTCCATGCGTTTCTTTTATTTCAATATTAATAAAACAAAGTGATCATGTTATTTTGGCACCAACACCAGATCAAACAGAAGACTGGATGCAGTGACTCTTTAGTGTAAGAAATAGCACCAAAACTTTGTTTTTCTTTTTGTTAAATTATCATTGCAGTCATTTCTGAACTCCATTTCTGATTTGTGACTCTGTTTAATTTCCTTGTTTACTACTTATTAAATGGACCAAAATAAATAGATAAATAAATGCCAGTTTTGCCCCATTGTGTATCTGCCACACCTTTGCCACACATATGTGTAAATTGCAGATTCACTCTGCAGCCACATCATTTAAGCAACTGCTGTAGCATTACTTTAACTTTAGCACTATTTCAACATATTTTTACCCAAGTAGAAGTAAAAACTAGTCATCAAAAATAATTACTCAAGTCACAATAAAAAAGTATTTGGTAAAAAGGCTGCTGTACTTAATTACTGAGTACTAAGTTAATTACTGAGTTGTGACGAGGGGAGTGGTGGCGTAGTGGTTAGAACAGGAGGTTTGTGCTCCAGAGGGGACACAAGAGGCCAGGTTCACAGATTACCACTCTGGGTCCCTGAGCAAGAGCCCCAGAATGCTCCCCGGGCTGCACAATGGCAGCCCACTGCTCCCTGTAAGCGATGGGTTAAATGCAGAGGACAAATTTTGTTGTAATGTACATTACATGACCAATAAAGATGATTATTATTATTATGTTTAATCTGACTTAATATGTGAATATTATGTAATCATATAGATAAAATATAAAATTATGTGCAGGTTTTAGTACTTTGAATAGTAAAATAAAGAAATGAGAAAAAAATGTATCACAGCATTACAAAATAACAAGAAAAATAACAGAATAAAAATCTCAGTTCCCCACAACATAAAACTTTTGAAACCAGTACTTAGAGTAGGTAATATATACATGTTACAACAGTTCACTTGACCTCCAAATGGTACAAAAGGCTCAGCAGATAGAAAATAACATTAGAACAATGAAGCTTCTTTACAAACCAGAAGTCTCACCAGACAGAGACAGGTGTGTTCATGCAATTTTGGTTAAAATGTGGTTGTTTGTTATTCAATGAAGTAACTAGAAGTGGATAGAGTAGCCAGAAATTGAGTCAAGTAAGAGTAGTGTTACTTGAAAGTAATATTACTCAAGCACAAGTAAAAAGTGTGGTGCAGTAAATCTACTCCTAGAAGTACTTTTTTTCCAGGTAAATAGAACTGAGTAGATTTAACTAGTTACTTCCCAACTCTGTTCTCAGGTATTGTAACAGTAATATTACTAATTTCATGCAACACTATGAACAACCTATTTGTATGATGATTGTGATTCACTCACCTTACCATGCTTTATATTTAAAACTAAAACTGAAACTGATAGCCTACTCGACCTAATTTCTGACCAATTTGGCAAAAAATTATCTGACCACTTGGAGACATTAACAGTGCATTCCTAGAAGAATAAATTGTGATGTTGAGGCAAAAAGAAACAATTTTTGTGTTTTTCTTATTTTTTTTTATTTTTTTGTATGTATGTGTGTGTGTGTGTTTTTGTTGGCATTTTATACCCAAAACATATTAAAAAAATTTTTAACATGTTATCTTTAAATTGATATTTTACGCAATCCACTCTTTCAGGTATACTTCATTTCCTACAGTGTCCTCCACAGAAAATGATTTGAGTCTGAGCCCTCCATCAGCTTTCCCTGATGCAGTAAGCACGGCAACATTGGCATTGTCCACACCACCTCCCAGACTTCCTCTGCGTGAACCTCAAGTTTGCCCTGATGATCTTTGCCGCAATGGAGGGACATGCCATCAGCTGCAGCTTTATGGCAGATCTCTTTCCACCTGCCACTGTCCTCTCCATTTTAGTGGAGCTTTCTGTGAAAAAGGTGCCTTGCATTTACTTCTGTACTGTTTTTTATTATATCTGATATAGGAAGCAGAGAGCAAAAAACTGCTGTAATGTGACCTTTATAGTGGTATCACCAAGAGCCATCCACCAAATTATGTCGGGTAATATATGCCGAGTCTCTTTGGCTAATAGGTTTCACTATGAGGGGTAATAGAGCCAGCTGCAATAGAATGTTGAGTGATGTGAATTATTCAGAATATGATAAATGAAATGAGAGATCCATATAAGCAGCTTGAGCATTGCTGAATGTCCATTTGCCCCTTCAGCAAGCTCCCAAAATCAGAATGCGAACATAGAGCACTTGTTCGGCATTCAGTTACACCCTCACCCTTTTCCTAACCAACAATATTTATTTTGGGGGGCTGGGGGCTCAGTTGGTAGTGCACACATACCATGTGCAGAGGCTATAGTTCTCAGCGCAATTGTCCTGGGTTCGATTCCCAGGCTCGGGTCATTTGCTACATGTCTTCCCTTCTCCCTCCACCCTCTTTCCTGTCTACTTACTGTACAATAAAGTCCAGTAGTGCCAAAAAATCTTAAAAAATATATATATATTTGTTTCTACTTCTAAGATACTAATACCAAGAAAGACGCGAGTACTAACTCATATACTTATTCTAAAAATTACCTCTTTGCAACTAAAATCCTACTCATATTATTAAATTAATATTTAAATAAAGATTGTAATAAAAACAGAGTATATTTATTTTAGAAATTTTTGTGACACTACAGCTTTCAAGAGTGAACTAGTCATTATTATTATTATTTGTGCTTAAATGACACATTGTAGTTATGTCACAAGTCTTACAGCTAGCAACATACACAAACCAATGTCATTTAAACAGCTTGTTTTGAGCAAAATTGGCTCTTGGAATATTATCATTTTTAGTATACTTGTAAAGAGACACTTTGGTGCTTTAGCAATGTATTACTTTTCAGTTATTTATCAGTTACCATCTATTTAAGGTGCAGATAAACTTCCTCAGCTTAATAGCTTAACCTAAAAGCTCTTCTGACATTATTCTCTGTGGTCAGGATTTACTGAAGAGAGACTGCTATTGTTCAGCATGTGCAACCCGTGATGTTGACACTATTAGTTTAGCTTTAAGACCTGTCATATAAGCATAAATAAGTACTCCATTTTCAGGGAGACATGTTTTGAGAAAAGACTGCTGTAAAGAATCCTGAAAAGAATGCAATCAAGACATGGCAGTCCATGTAAACTGACAGGTTGGACAAAGAGGGCATTAATTAGAGAGTATCCAAGAGGCCCAGTGTAATTCTGGAAGAGTTACTAAGATCCACAGTACAGCTTAGAAAATTATTTGACAGGACAACCTTGGGGACACATGGCCTGTGGACAGCAATGACGTGAAAGGGGTTATTTGGTCTAATGAGACCAAAACCAAAGTTTTTGGCCTACCTGCAAAAAGCTATTTGTGAAGGAGGAACATTGCACATCAACCCTAACACCCTATGCTGCCACTATCATGGTGACACATGATGGTGGCACCATCATGCTGTGGGCGATGCTTTTTTTCTTCTGAAGGGCATGGAAACACATTAGAGTAAATGAGAACATTCCTTTTGTCCTTATTAAAAAATGGTTTCTGATTTATTATTGTCAGGAAAAACATTCCACCCCAGTATGCAGTAAAGACATCCAAGCTTCATAAATCAAAAATATGGATTTGTAGTCTGAGGTCAGGATTTACACAGTATGTAATATAAGACTTGATTATTCACTTAAACACAGAAACAAATTGTTGTTTTTTTTACATATAATTTGACATACATTCATATTCAATACGTTAGAGTATTTATGGAAAAAGAATTTATTTTGTACCTCAAATCACTAAGTGAAACACATAGATTAATTATAAAAATACTGATGTTTTCAAGCCTTTACTTTTGTTTATTATGATGATTTCCTAATTACAGCTATTGCAAACATGACATTTAGGATTAGAATATTTACAGCATAACGATAATAAAAAAAAAAAAACATTTTTAATACAGAAATGTGGGCTTAATGGAAATTATGTTGAATAGCTGATTGAAAGTTATTTTAAAAAATGTACTTTTAAGTTGACAAATGAGCCTCATCAGAATGCATATACTAATTTATTTGATTTGACTGTGTATTCTGTATAATTCAGATAAACAACAAATACATTTCTATAAAAAATGCATATAAAATAACAAAAAGCTGTAATAACCTGTTATAAAAATGTACACACACCCTTAGCTTGACACTTTGATAAAAGACCATTTGAATTAGTTTAGGCATTTGGTTTTATTGAATTTACACTTGTCAATTATAGTAAATTCAAAGCACCTAAACTAAAGTTCAGCTTTCCTAGTAGGATTTTCTGATATTTGCCAATTTGATTGGCATCTCATTGCATAAAGGTAACAGTCAGGAGAAACATTTATCTGAAAATGATGAATATATGAGGCTGAAACTGGTTACCCCGCTCCAGAGGAATTTAGCTGGGGGCACTGTGGCTAATTTTTGGGGGGGTCCAGTAAACAGGATTCTTACTTAATATAAATACGGAAATTCCTGCCCTTACCTCAGCGTAACTTCTGTTGCCCAGCAATCGTGACAGCATGAAGCACAGAGCTGTGAAACTGTAAAAATGGAGACCGAAAGTTAACCCTGCTGTCTCCTCCTGATGGCATATAAACTTGTTTACTTTAAAATGTTCTTGTTTTATTATCTTAATTTTATTCTTGCTCAATAATCAGCAAATGTTTAAAATAACTTTTATGTTCATAGATAAAAAAATATTACTAAATAAAGTACACTGATGACAAATACCACTTACTTTATTACTAAATCTTTTACCAACTTAAACACTAACAAAATAACTTTTTGAACCAAGTTTAAATACTTTTTTTTGTAGAACATAATCAGATGTATTCTGACTGAGTTATATCTGTGTTTAATTTCCACTCACTGGTAAAATCCAGCTGGAGTATGAAAACGATGTGCCGGGAGACAGGCGTCCTCTGTCGGTACAGCAAACCTTGAACGCCCGGTCAGCTAACACCTGGCCAAGCGAGCCAGCTGTTAGTGCAGTGGGAGCGGACATCTCTGAACACGTCGATCACTTTCGCAATTAAGCGATATCTTGTTGAACCAAACAGATATTTCAGTTTTACACAGCTACATTCTCACCTAAAAACATTATAAAAGTTCATTTTGTTTCACAGAAAACGTAATATATACAACTTTATTCACAGCTTTTCTCTCTCCTCTGCTATTACTACTTCCATTTGAACTACGACCTGTACCACTACGACCCGCAATAAATCATGGGATAGGGTTGGCAATGACGGATACACTGGATCCATCCTTTAAATCTAGGGAAAACAGGAGGCATTTGTTGGCCACATTTAGAGGAGCCTGCAAATTTGCACAGCCTTCATTGCCTTACCATGACGTAATTGGCCTAAAATGCAGCCTTTGACGGATTCAGACCCCTAACCCTAAGCCCATTTTGGCATATTACCGTATTTTGGCATATTACCGTATAAGTGACTTTTTACCGCTTCCAAAGGCCCATTTAATAGCCTGCTGGTTGTCTTGGGTAATACATAGCATATTTGCAATTTAACTTACACAGGGGTTGTAATCTGTCTTGGGCGGGCCCAGATACCTGAATGGGTGGGCCCGGGCCCCCAGTCCTAATACTGGCTGCCAGGAGTTCGACAGCAACACAAAGAGTTGCAGGGATTTCTCAACAGTACTGGTTGTGTCCTAGATGTGGCATCGATCTCCTGTGCTCCCCATATTTCTGGACTAAGCTGGAATGTAAGCACATTCAGGCCTTTCTACAATTTCCTGCGGGAGAATTTATTATGGTCTGATGAAACCAAACTTGAAATGTTGGGTCATTTTGGGTCAAGAAAAGCCTACCATACCTTTAGCAAAGATGGATTATGGATGACTAGTTCTGACCAAATACCTGTCAGCGTTGACTTAAAACTTTCAAGTGTCTGCTAGAAAGCTGAAGGTGGACAGGGCTTTATTTTTTAGCATCACAGTGTCCAAGCATACATCCAAATCAACAACATGTATTAATTTTTGGAATAGTCTAGTCAGAATCCAGAACAAAATTCGACAGAAAGTGTATCAGTTGAGGAGTGTTGTGAAATATTTCTCATGGTTTGATAGATTTTGAGAACCTTTGCAAGGCCAAAATGATCAAGGTATGATGTGGCATCCGGACAGATTTTGGTCACAGAAAACTGTATTCTAAAATTTTATGAAAAGGGGCTTTAACAAAGAATAGATTTAAGGGTGTGCACACTTATAAAACCTGGTTATTGTAACTTTTTTATAATTTTTTCTTTCTAGAAGATTAGTTTGTTTTTCGGTTGAATTGTACAGGAAACCTGTAAAAGTATACATGGAAAAAAGTTTTGAAAGAATTCATCATGTTCTAATTTTTACATTATAAAAGCCAGCGATACAATCTTGAAAGCAACTGTACATAATAACCACTTCTATGTTTTGACAAGGTTTTAAACATAGTCTTTTCTTCTTCGTTGTATTCATTATTTCTTAAAATACATTGTAGTGTAGGTTAGTTATATTTAAAATCACACTACACTATTATAAATCATATCTTTCACCATTAGACAGTCTAATTATCAATCTGAAGTTAATTATTTTCTTTCCGATTCAACGATCAGTTTATAATACGTTAAAAAGGTGTTAATCTGTTTCTTAGCTCTTAGTTTTATCAAAGATAAAACTCAACACCCGAGGCAGAAGAGAAAAATCACCAGAAACTACTGCATGAATCAATTTATATTTTTGTTTAATCAAACTAATCTAAAGGGGTTGGACAATGAAACTGAAACGCCTGGTTTTAGACCACAATAATTTATTATTATGGTGTAGGGCCTCCTTTTGCGGCCAATACAGCATCAATTCGTCTTGGGAATGACATATGCAAGTCCTGCACAGTGGTCAGAGGGATTTTAAGGCATTCTTCTTACAGGATAGTGGCCAGGTCACTACGTGATACTGGTGGAGGAAAGAATTTCCCGACTCGCTCCTCCAAAACACCCCAAAGTGGCTCAATAATATTTAGATCTGGTGACTGTGCAGGCCATGGGAGATGTTCAACTTCACTTTCATGTTCATCAAACCAATCTTTCACCAGTCTTGCTGTG